GAAGTGCAACACCCAGTCCACCAGGTCTACACAGAAAGGACAGTCTGTTGGGCCTGAGGTGGCAATGGAGCCTCTTTGGCCAAAAACATGTTCAAAGGCTGCTTCAGACAATGGCCAGTTAAAGCACTGACAGTTACATTTATCACTCTAAGTTCTTTAGAATGTAGTTTCCCTGCTCAGTATGACTGGGTTTTTACTAACTTTATCAACATGCAAACTAATTCCAGCCCCATTTGAAACTTCAAGCACTAAACATGCCAAAATCACATGCCTCATGCATGCACACTACAAAGAGAAGTGTTTGGGATCCCCTCAGCCTTTTGGAATTCTGAGCTCAAACTTTATAATTGTCTAAGGCCTAAAGAGGGGAGAAAAGCTACAGAGGCCTTGTGAGGCATGTAGTGCCATAGGACAAACTCAAGCCTGGAATTTGGGTTCAAGTCCTGGTTCTGTTATCACTTGTCTGTGACTTCGAATAAATATCTTAATCCTTTTGTGCCTCAATTTGTTCTTCTATAGAGATAACGATAGCACCAATTCATAGGTTGTAAGGATTAAAAGAACCAAGACATGCAAAATACTTAGCGTGGTGTCTGGCACTGGGAAAGCACTCTGTAAACACTGCTATTATTGCATCATGACTTCAGAGAAGGCTTTAATAAAAGCCCCTCACTTTAATTCATCCTGAAATCCTCCTCACAGGAGGACCGTGAAGTTGAGTAAGCTCAATGTAAACCAAAGCTTGGGCCCAGGCGTACCAGTTGCTACCTCCACTGGAGTCTCTTCCTCACAGCTCTGGGAGGGGGTCAGGGGTGCTACAGCTTTCATTGCATCTATCTTGTCCCTTGGAGGGGGCTGAAAATGCTGCCTCTCTGACATTGCTGTTGCTCCTGGGGGCTGGAAACAACTTTCTGTGCTGACAAGGAAGATGTTTCCTACCATCTTGCCTGGAGAGAAAGAATGAGAGACTGTGCTTTGGACTGTCAAGGGCAGTGGATGTTTGGAACCCTGCAATCAGTACTATGGAGAGAGCATGGAGTAGGGTGTGAAGTGGCTGTGGACTCTCACCAGGAGTAGGACAGGGGTAAAGCTGTGCTCTGTGTGGGGGTAAGGGGGCTGCACACAATCTGTGGCCTTGTCCTAGGGGGCCAGGCCAGAAACCACTACCTGTTTGGGGGTGGGGTGGGGGTCCACTAAGGTCTTCACCGTATATTCCAGAGTGCAGCTAGTATAGCTGATGGGGCACAGGCAGCAGGGAGGGGAAGGCTCTGAGGCTGCAGCAATAGCCCTGCCGAGGACCTATTTGGGTTCCCAGTGTCTCACTGCCAATTGTACGCTGCTGCTGGGCTGGAGGCTGAAGGGTCAGTCCTGCTGGGGACAACTTCTGGTAATTTAGGGAAATGCGGAGAGCTGACAGAGAGCACAGTTGAGCTGATTATGCTGGCAGCTGACGAGGACACACACCAAATGCAGGCGGCCACTGGATATGGCCTTCCTTTGAAGAACAAAGGCACAGAAAATTGGTTCACCAAGGAGAATTAAGCGATGACAATACACTGAACAGAAATAAAAATCAGTTCGAAGCCAGTTGACTCAGAAAAATATAGGATCCTGAAGAGTACAGCTGAACTATGCAAGACCTTTGAATAGTGGGAATTTTACTTTAAAATGCTTTTGTAAAGTGATTTGAGTGCGCCTAGCGATGAACAAAGGCCAAGCCCAGGGAGACTCCCTGTCTTCAGGCTGCCCAAGCTTCTGTTCCGCACACAGGAAGCCTCTCTGTGGCCTTCACCAAAAGCCAGGAGGCAGATGGGCAGCTTCTGCCTGGGAGCTTCTAGCCCATGGCTTTCTTTAGGCTCTGAAGGCCAAGAATGGAACTTAGACCTACATGGACACCTTCTAGATTCAGGCCATTTCTGATTTCAGATTCAGGTGGGCAATGCTGGGTTTGCCATGTTCCATCTGGGTTCTAAGGCCAGAAGCTGCCCCTGGAGAGAAATCCTTTAGGTTTTGCGCCCTTCGTTTTCCAGAAACCAAATGTCCTGGGTCAGGTGCAATGCAGAGCTCCCAAGGGGAGGGTCTAATTGCTTTGAGTGATGGCTGAAGACAGAAGTACATTCAGATGGGGCAGGGTAGAGTTCAAGAAAGAGAACTTAGAAAGGGACTGAGAGGGTTTAGAGAACACCACAGAGGAAGATGCAGCCTCCAGAGCACTAGCTTCATCTTGGCCTGAAGAAGCATGGATGTAGCAGTCAGAAGGGGGAGGGAGAACTTGGCCCAGAAAAGGAGAGTGCAGCAAAAACCTAGCAGCCCCTTGAGGAAGGCACCAGGAAAACCCATGCCTGGGCCTCGCTCTCCCACCCTCTGACCTCCTGTCTGTGCCTCTGTTGACAGAACACCAACAAATCCAGGGGCCAAGGGAGGCTCGACTATGTGCTCCCTAAAGATCAGCCCCTGAGCTGAGAGGGCAGACCAGGACAGTGGTCCTGGAGGCGCAGATGGAAAACATCCAGCCAGGGTCATTTCCCAGAGGCTGCAGATCCTTGGTCTCCAGCCAAGTGCAGCCATTACAGGACACAACTCCGCTGGCCAATTTCAAAGCCCTACTTACTGCTGGGAATGCATGTTTGAACAAAGCCTTTATTCTCTATTCCAGCAGCAGGGCTGGAATTTAAAAAGCTTCATTTTCAAGACTGGCTGCTTTTGATCTGTCTAACCTGGAACTTACATTTTGGAGTCAAATAGAATTATTTAAACAAAGCATTGCAGTGATAAGCACAAAATGATTTTATTTTTTTCTCCCCCTCCCCCAGGCGCCACATAACATGCCTACTTGATCAAAACATAAGGACTGTTCCATGGCCAACCCTTCAAATTCCAGCTGCTCTCAGCTTCCACTTCCCTGGGCCTCTGTTTCTTAAGTCTGCCTTTAGCTTTGCACACAGGGGGCTAATTTGACCTCTGACTGGCCTAGAGCGGGTAGGCAAACTGTTCTAGGAACCCCCCCCCCAACTCCTGCTTCTAGCTTTGGCAACCGTGTGCTAGCATTTGGTTTTAGGAACTATACTGTGTCTTCATCTTGCTTCTCCGACCCAACTGTTTTCCTTTCTTATGAAATGTCATGTGCTGTGCTCCTCAGAAGAGCTTGTCCCCCAGCCCCAAGCCTGTGTTCCTATACCATCTGCCTTGACCTACCTGCTATTCAAATGGGAGTGTTGATCAGTATGTGTATTCCTTAGAAATCACACCTGCCCTGTGCTGAGCTAGACAGCGTTTCCCCTTTGTACCACAGTAAAGTCCAGCTGCGCAGAACAGACGGCATCAGACAGAAGGCAAGAGAAAGCCAGTCTGGAAAATCCAGGCTGTGAATGAGAGAGAGCAAAGCTGCACTCCTCCGGCAACTAAAGAGGGTAGCAGTTGGAAAAGCAGCCCTAGAAATGGCCTGGTCTAGATGCATTGATACAAATAAACAACATACAAAAATAATATGGAAATCATCTCTAGAAACTAGAGTAATCTCAATTTCTCATCAGAATTATTCTTTACAAATAATGTGAAAGTATGTAATAGAATCCTTTCTGTTTTTAGGGGAGCTAAGAGAATATGCTTTGTATCAGAAACCTTCCCTGGTACATAGCAGAGAAAGGTACAGACACATAAAAATATAAAATTACTATGATGTTCAGTAAGTGGTCAGCTCTACACCTTTGCTCAAGATTGTTGGCAGTATTCTAAGTTAGGGCCAAGAGAAGGGAGAATAGTATTTGATTTAACAAGTGTTAGTCACAAAAGATGCAATCGCTGTGAAAGGAAGGGCACTTGGAACACAAGGCGTCTTTCACGTCAGTCCCAGAATCACAGCCACTGTGCTGCTTGGCTTTTCTGCAAGGAGATCAGCATCATGCTCTCCACCCAGCCTTGGCATCTTCCCTACTGGCAGGACCATAGCTTCAAGACTGCTTCTGGGAGGGCCAGGGAGATAGCGCAGAGAACTAAGTGCCTGCTTAGGCAAGTGCAGGGACCGGGGTTCAATCCCTGGCACCACATGCCACACTGGCCCCGCCTCAGGGCTCTCTGAGCCGGCCACAGGAGAGCTCCCCTGAGCCAGGGAGCCAGGTTCTCACTCTGCAGACTGGACATACTCATCAAAGACCAACACCACACCCCGAGAAAATACCCCAAGAGAATACTATCAGCTCAGGAGATGCTGTCTGGGCTTTTATAGGACTGGAAATAACAATAAAAGGGAGAAAGATCTTAAGCATCTATGTCAATTGTAATTTTAAAATAAAACCCATAAAATGTACACTAGACACATTTGGCTGGCAGCTTGCTTCAAGGGAAGCATGTTTTAGGCACTAAGAAAATACTGGCAGAAGCCCTCAGTCCGGGGAACATATGTCAGTGGTACCTCTGACCCACTCAGAGTCCCAACAATGTCTCCTAAATTAATCACAAGAAGCACATGTACTTCCTTCCACTGTCGAGTAGACTGGTGGGCAACTAGCCCTTGCTCGGCTGGCTGGGTGTGGGGTGTGCTGGAGCCTCACTGACAATGCCGTGGGGCTGGGAGGGTTGATATGAAACTAGGTTATAAAAACAAGTGCAAATTGTTTCTTTAAAATTTGTTTAGGAGCCCACAGCAGCATATCTAGTTCAGCCCAACATAAAACTGCTTACCTAGGTGGAAAGGAGATACCCACAATACTAAGAGAAATGGTGCAGTTTCCCTGTATCCAGCCTCACACCCTTCCACAGAGAGACATGCTACCATTGTGGCAATAGGCCAAGCTTGTGATGCACAAGGGCTTAATGGGCTTTACTATATCCACTTCTCATAAAAATGGTGGGGTTTTTTTTTTTGTTGTTGTTGTTGTTTTGGCGGAACTGGGAATTGAACTCAGGCCCTTGCGCTTGCCAGGTAAGCGCTTATTCTACTGAGCCATCTCCCCAGTCCCTCACTTCTTATAAAAATGAACATGTATAGGTAACATCTGATTTTTATTGATTGAATCAATGCATTGGGAATTTAGCAGCAAGTTAATGGTAAGCAGTTACAAACTGTCTTATTTCTCTATGCTTACAATGAGTTGTTTTAAACAACTATAGTGACCTAAAATTACATGAACACATGTGGAGGACTGAAGCACTTCTGCCGTAACGCTATGGCCAGGTTATTGGTAATTTTCTAACAAAGTCTTGTAGTGCGAAGTGCACATAATTATGTGGAACCCCCACTACCATATTTGGCCTCTTGTTTTCCCTATAAACAACTGTGCTTAAACATAAGACTCTGAAGTAAAACCAAGCAGTACTGCCCCAGCCTTCATGGAGGGCATCTGCCCCTTAAACAACCCCTGGCTACATCTTGAGTTGATTTTAGCCGCATGGCCATCGGGCCTGTTAGTGGCTGTGCTTTAATACTCCGTGCAGTTTATGCTCCTTTGGAGATAACTAGCTTCAATTTTAAACTGGTGCAGCCACAAGGCAGGGCCCCACAGTCCAGGAGGCCGAAAGCTCGGCGCAGCTCGGTCCCTTCCCCTCCTCACCCCTCCCTTTAGCACTAGAAAGAGCAGTTCGTTTTGGTACTGTTTGTTCAGCACTGGAGGGTACATTAGGGCTTTTTTTTGGCTCGAAACAGGGCAGTGGATTTAACAGTGGATTTGGTTACTCCTCCTGGGCTTGGCACCGCAGAAGTTTTCTCTACATCTCCCTTGAGTTCAGGTGAGAGGAGTCTGCTAGACGTGGAACTTGAACAGCATGAGTCAAAGTCACTTGTATCTGTTTTCTTACCAACTTTCAGCAATTTCTTTTCAAAAGCAGTGGGCTAAAAACAAAACAAAAAAAGGCCTAGGTTAGTTTTTAGACACAAATAGATATATACGTATATCAATGCAAAGACCAAGGAACTACAATGCTGGCCAACTAACAAGTTGAAGCAATTTCTAGACTTGAGACACACACTTGTCACACTGTAAAATGACGTAAATGTGAACACACACTTGTCGTTTAGCACTCTCAAGTACTGGCTTGACTAAGTTAAGGAGTGGAGCAAACTGGTCAGGCTCAGTTTCAGCCCTCGTCGTGTAAAATGGAAGCGTTTCTGTCAGGTCTTCAGGAAGGAAAGTCCACTCTGAAACAACTGTCTTCGTTTCATCTTTCAGATTTGCAGCTAAGCTCAGATGTGTCGATACCTTGAAGAGTCCACATTGACTGCTCTAACCTGGGTAGGAAGCCGCCTCCAATGCCCCACTCACATTCCTCCCATTCTGCACTTATGCCCTGGTCAGTGTCTAGTCCCAGTCATAAAACCCAAGGCCGTCTGTAGAGCTTTTTGAGCCTCAACCTCCCATGCTAAAGGGGGAAAGTAGTAAGCCCATGTTCACTGAAGGGGAGAGTACCAGAAGGAACTGAGAGGATAACAATGAGAGAACAAGCAGGATTTCAACAGGCAGCCATTAAACTTCCAGGTCCTCACTCCACAGGAGAGCAGAGTGCTGTCCTGAGTCCTGCCATCGTGAGAAGTGGAGGGTTCACTTTGACCTTGTGTTTATTTTTTAAATGACCACTCTTAACTAAGTGAAGTTAGGGCCAGGGAGATGGCTCAGTGGATAAGGGCTTCTCTGGCAAGCACAAGGGCCTGAGTTCAATCCCCGGTTCCGCAAAAAAAAAAAAAAAAAAAAAAAGAATTAACTAAGTGAAGTTAAGGAAGGCATTCTAAAAGAGCATGAAACATCCCAGGACACCTACAAAATCAGGTGGAGACCCAGAAACCTGTCACCACACAGAATGATTTAGGAAAGTACTCACAAATTTAGTACTCTGGTCTATACTTGGATTAATAATTTGGGTACCAATTTTCAAAATATGTGAAAAGATTATACATAACTCAGAATAAATTGATGTGGGGTTTCTCTGATCACTCAAATTCTTGTGACGTAATGACCGTGTTTTATACACCTAGATAATTAATATATACCTGCTCAGTGAATGAGTGACTTCCCAGAACTGCAGCAGAGCTTCAGGTCCCTTATACTGCTGGTAGCTGTACTTCAGGGAGAAGCTCTACTTGATGTTAGTTGAAAACAGCCCTTAAAGATGTGCCTGTCAGACAGCATCATTCACGTCTGACTTTATAGCAGCGTATGCTGATTCTGCGATAAGTAATTAACAAGCATTTTGTACCTAAAAATTAATTTGTATCTCTTTCGAAAGATAAAATGGTCTTGTATGCTACCTTTTCTTCTTAATGAAAACTGAGTTGCTCCCTTGTGCTCTTTCGAGAAGCAGAAAATATTTAAAATACTTTAACACCCACTAAGATGCGTTAGATCCTCTTGTTGCAAACTTCTATGTTCCCCAACAGGGTGAGGCTACAGCAGCCCTGATGTACTAGTACCTGGCTGAGGACAATCCACTTTTTTTTTTTTTTTTTTTTTTTTTTTGGTGGAACCGGGGATTGAACTCAGGCCCTTGCGTTTGCCAGGGAAGCACTTATTCCACTGAGCCATCTCCCCGGCCCCAGACAATCCACTTTCTTTAGTGCAATTTTGGTCTCTAAGTCATGGAATCTACTTGGCAATTTTAGTTGATAAAATTTAATTAACTATATATAAATCTTATTGAAGGTTGAATCTAAGTGTAACCTTCTCTCTCTTTTGATATTTCTATTTGGATTCTGAGTTATTATCAAAGTAGTTGAGAGAATAGTTTTCAATATGTCCACTACAATCCTATAAAATAGGAATATGGCTTTAGTCATTTTCTTTTAATGAGCTCATGTTCATATCAGCTTAATGTTTCTATTCTTAGCCATTGTTCCATAAAGTAGACTCAGAAGTTGTAGTCCCTAGGAAGAAATACTCAAAAATAGTCTTTATGAATGCAGACTTTTTCCCTAAAAAAGCTTCATAGGCTCACATTTTATTCTTGGATACAATATCTCCATTCTCAGAATTTTCTGAAAAGTAAACAAAAAAGCCAAGCTACACCAGAGTGTTTCATTACTTTGATACTTTGGTATAGAAATATGATATATTTTTCATTAGATAGCGAGATGAAAAATATATATGCTTCAAATCACATTTGTTTGTTTATAAATTTAGCAATTTAAAAAAAATAGGCACTACATATCCATGACTTAGTGGTTACTATGTTCAAAATCTCCTTGCCCCCTGGTTAACTCAGCTCTCCCAACCAAGGACAACCGAGTTGTCAACTAACAGATTATACCTGGGGAGAGATTTCACATGTCAGCAGGCAAATAAGTGCCATCAAATGGAATTTGTTGTCATTGGCACTAGTGCGCGTCAAAAACAATGTAGTAATGGCCACTTCATAGGGTTCGGCTTTATCCATCTATCTGTATACATTCACTTTTTACACAAATAGTAGCCCATTAAGCACCCCTCTATTGTTTAAACTAATGATCATCTAAGAAATTAATTCATAAAAAGAGTTCTCATTCTTTTTTTCCTGGCTAGGTAGTAATTCTCTTGTGCAACTGTTTAGCCAGTCCCTTCATAATGGCCATTTGGGTTATTTCCAGCCTTGTACTAGTACAAGTAATGTGGCTGTGAATAGTTCCTCTGGACTGTGTCCTTTTCCACATGTGTGACTGTATCTACAGGATATACATATTTAGAAATAAGACTCCTGGATCAAAAGGAATTTATAATTTTGAAAGATATTATGTCACCTTCCATTGAAGTCACGCTAATGAATACTCCTACTCTCAGCATATGAGAGTGCCTCTTTTCTTATTTCACTGTCAATTTACTATTCAACATATGTTAAAACTAATACAGACAACCATAATATTTTAATTATGCCTTAAAATTGGCCTGTACTGAAACAAATCACTGTATTTATTTCTTCACTCCCAGGTAACATTAATGCAAATACACTTACCTTTATGCAAATGTTTACTGCAAATGCTTAGGAGCTTCTGAGTATATGGATTTAACTTGGGAAACTGTGTGTGTGTGTGTGTGTGTGTGTGTGAGCGTGCACACCTTAGTGTTTCTTTGTTCATTATGTTTGACACGCCTTTGTTCAAAAACTGAACTCAGATAGTTTTTCAAAAGAGTCTAAGGCTGCCCTTTAGAGAATCCTTCACTGGAACCAGTCACTGGAACTGGCAGAGCAGATACAAAGTGGCCCCCATGTGCCTTGCAGGGCAAGTTGCAATTTTCTGTACAAACGACCAAGCCTCCCACCCCCTTGGAACCTAGATGGTGAAGGTAAATTCCAAGTTCTAGGTTTTTTCCTAAGACTGTGAACAAATCTTAATTTTTCAGGGATTTCTTTTGTTGGGTTATAGATTATCTAAGTTTTAGGTTTCTCCTTTTCCTCTGTCATTGCCAGTAGTATTCCTCAGGGATCCGTGCTGCCACTGATGCAATTTTACAGTTTTATAAGTAATAGGACAGAGAAATGAAAGTGAAATTGCCAAAGCTATGAGATCTTACAGGTCGTGAAAGACAAACAGAAGGAGAAGAGCTCCCGCAAGACTGTGCAAAGGCGAGAAATGATGGAGGAATTTCAATATTCAGTTCTGGAGAAAAGATCTTAAATGATTATCGTGTGACTGTTGACCATTTATTTGTCAACCCACAAAAGGACCCCAAAATTCAGCTGCTAAAGTAACAATGTACCCTTGGCAAGAAAGCCTCACTAGCATCAAAAAGCATTTTAGATATCAGGAGAAAAAATTATCCTTATATAAAACCATGATGAATTCATATGGGAAACACTGCAACCGGCCTCAAAGATGAAAAGGGATTAGAGAAGATTACAAACAGGGTACTAATATGATAAAGGGGTGGAGCTATCTTTATATGAGAGCTCTTCAGTCTAAAAAGATAAAGAACAACAGTATGTGTGTGTGTGTACGCACACACACACACACACACACACACACACAGGAAGGAGGTCGGTTCAGCACTGTGGAACTAGATATTGTCTTGGAGTGCTGCAGTCAGTCAGGGTGTCTCATCAGGGACTGCCCCAAGCCGCATTTCAATTGTTTTTCACCTTTGACAAATTCTTACCATTTGGGACAGCTGAAGTCATCAACTGGATACAGAATGATGGAAAAGATGACACTGCAAAGTTCCCTCCTGTTTTACCTTTTTGTAATTCAGCACTCTTGGCCTCATTTCTCCAGCTCATATTATTAATCTTGGAAAGGGGTTTCCATGTGTGCGAGGGAAGATATGTAGCAAGAAGTTGAGCTAACTATATATATATATTTCATTATTCCCTGGCATCACTTTAACCTGATGAACTAATCTGGTGATAATGGATGCAAAACCTGTAAGCTCTAGGCATATCCCTGCAAGTTAATACCAGTGCATGATTACTAAAAACTGTTACCATTTCTCTGAATTTTGAGTAAAATACATGCTATTTAAGTAAAGTGGTTTATCACCATAGCAACCACTTCTAGAGTCACACATTTAAATTATAGGCCTTCACAAGGTCCAAATGAGAAAATTTTGGTACAAGTTTTCTGCTATAGTTTTGCTTGCAGTGGGCACTCACCTTATCTCGTGTTCCTGTGGTTTTCTGAAGAAAGAAGAAAGGAAAAGTAAAGCAAAGGGAAAAGAAATCAATCTCCAGGTACACAGACTCTTTTTACAGTGTTACCTACACAAAGGTCTGGGTCTCATATGGAGTAAATGAAAATAAAACCTAACCTGCAAATTAGAGAAAGCTGCAAATTTCTTGGTAGCTAGGGTATAATTTATATGCAGTAGAATAAACACATGTCAACTGCACGGCTTAAGGGATTTTGACAAATGTATAGAGTTGTATAGAACAGCACAATTAAGAAACAGAATGATTGGTTGGAAAGTTCCCTTCTACCACACCCCATTCAATCCTTTTATTTTGAAGCTACTACTGTTCTGATTTTTAAAAACATAAATTAGTTTTGCCTTTCTAAACTTTGTACAAATGAAAAGAATAAAGTATGTGGTCTGCTGTATCTGATTTCCTTTGCTTAATATTTTAATTGCAATTTTATTGAGATATTTGTAGATGCTTATGATCTTACAAGGTTTCTCAGATATAGCCATATATTGGCAACTGATCTTTTTCTTAACAAATGATCTTTCAGAGAATGAATATACCAATATTTGTTTACTCAGTCTTCTGTTAATGGACACTTGGTTTGGTTCTAGTTTTAGGCTGCTTTTGTATAAAGCTTCTGTAACCATGTGCTATAAATCTTTTTGTGATTTTTTTTTCCAGAACTGGGGATTGAACTCAGGCCCTTGTGCTTGCCAGGGAAGCACTTATCCTACTGAGTCATCTCCCCGGCCCCTTTTTGTGAATTTACAAGTCATTTTTTTTTTGTGAATTTAGGCATGTGGAATAAAGGGGAAGTAAGGTCTAAATTTTATAGATAATGACCAACTTATATTTTTAAAGAATTATACAATTTTACATCCCACCAGCAATGTAGGAAAGATTCACTCACTCTCTATCCTTGCTAGCATTTGTATTTGCTGGTCTTTCATATGGCCATTTGGTAAGCATGAGATGAGATCTCATTATGACTTTTATCTATGTTTCCTGATGACAAATGACGTGGGGCAGCTCTTCATATGCCTATGACTGCTTGTATATCTTCTGATCTGAAATACTGTTCAAGTTTTATGAGTATATTTTAAGTTGAGTTGCCTTATTATTATCACATGGTAAGAGCGCTGTATCTTGGATGCATGTCCTCATCAGATAGATTTCTTGCAAATATTTTTCCTTGTGACTTGCTTATTTCTTGCCTCCTATTTCTTGCTTTCAGTGAACAAGTGTATTTACTTTTTTTTTGAGGAACCAGGGATTGAACTCAGGCCCTTGCACTTGCCAGGGAAGCACTTATTCCACTGAGCCATCTCCCCGGCCCCAAGTGTATTTACTTTTTATAAAGCCAACTTTATCAGCTTTTGGAAGTGTTTTCCATGTTCTAAGAAATCTTTGATCCCTGGATAGAAGATATGTTTCTTTCTGAGGAGTTTATAGTTTAGCGTTTAGACTTATATTTATTTTCAAAGTAATGCAGTTTTTGTGTTCAATTTTAATGTTATTTTAAAAATGTATTTAGTACAGGGTCTACAGGGTCTCATTACACAGACTGGACTCGTAGTGATCCTCCTGGTTTCAGCCTCCCAAATGCTGGGATTACAGGCACATGACACCATGTTTGTGCTCAATTTTAGTTAGGGGATCAAAGTTCCTTTCCCCCCCCCTCATATGGCTATCCTATTGCTCCAGCACTATTTATTGAAAAGACTATTTTCTCTAAATGAATTCCTTTGAAATCTGTCAAAAACTAACTGAGCATATGGACCTATTTTTTTTTAATTTTTTTTAACATTTTATTTATTGTGTGTGTGTGTGTGTGTGTGTGTGTGTGTGTGGCCAGCTCAGCCCACCAGGGGGCGCAGCTGGCTGGCATGTGGTGCTGGGGGATCGAACTGTGGTCCCTGTACTTTGCCAAGCTTGTTCCAAGTAGGTGCTTTAGACCACTGAGCCATCTCTCCAGCCCATATGGACCTATTTTTAAACTCTAATTTTTGTTCCATTTACCTATTTGTCTATCATTACACACGTACCATAATATTTTGACTCATTTAGCTATGTAGTTAAGGGTTAAACTCAGGTCAGATTAATCTGTTATAGATCTTATGTATTTCCAATAAATTTTAGACTCATCACTCAAGCAAGTATTCTAGATTTCAACTGAGGTTGGTTTATAGATCAGTTTGGAGAGAACTGACATCTTACCAGTACAAAATACTCTGGTCCATGAACATAGTATATCTCTTGATAGATTTCAGTCTTCTTTGGTTTTACTCAACAATGTTTTAGGGTTCTGGTATAAATATTTTGTACATGTTTTTTAGATTTATCGTTGCTTTATGTTATTTATCATATGCTTATGTTTTATGATATTATAAGTGGTGTTTTGAATTTTTGTTTTCTGTTAATTGGTAGTATAGAACAATTTATCTTTGTATTCAGACCTTGTATCTTGAAATATCCATAATTCACTTTTTTTTGTAGATTTCTTGGAATTTTATATATTAAACATCATGTCCTCTGCAAATAAAGTCTTATTCTTCCATTCCAATCTACATAATGTTATTTCTTTTATTTGACTTGTATTGACTCTGACCTTTACTGCAATGTTCAAAAGAAGAAGATAAGAATCCTTGTCTTTCTCTTTAGTGGATAAAACAGTCACTATCTTACCCATTAAGAATGATTATAATTTTAGCATAGGGTTTATTTTCTTATTTTGTACACTCCCATATTATATAAAAGAAATTCTTTTGATATTTTGTCTGCTAAGGATTTGCCAATTGTTAGAATGCAAAACTTAATCAACTGCTTAATTTTTGAAATCACTGAGGTATCATGTGCCACTTTTTCTTTGTTAATATGGAAAATTATATTGGTTAATTTTTGGAAGTGAATCCAAATTTGCATTTCTTAGATGTATTATATAACTGTTCTTTTCATATTTTTTAAATTCAGTTTGCTAAACAGAGTTTAGAATTTTTATGGTTATGTTTATGAAGGATATTAATCATGTTTTGGGATTAATGTTGTTTTGCCTAATTAGTTTGGAAATATTCTCAAGAGTTTATAAGTTTTCTTTTATTTCTTCTTTAAATATTTAAAAGAATTAACCAGTGAAATCATTTGAGAATGATGTTTTCATTATAGGGAAGTTTCTAATTACTGATCTTATTTTTAAAATAAATACAGAACTATTTCTACTTTTATAAATCTATTTTGTTGTTTCTTTTAAAAAGACATTTGCTCATTCCTTGCAGATTTTATAATTTATTGATGTTGAGTCATTTATGGGTCATAAACCCAAAGCTAGAGAAATACAAAGTATACAGTGTAAACAACAATAGAAAAAAATGAATAGGGCGTTAGGGACCTATAAAACAATATCAGACTGTCCAACATTTAACTAACTAAAATCTCAAAAATAGAAAAGAAAAAGGAAAAGAAAAAGTGATAAAACCTCGCAAACATGGCTAAAAATACAAGTTATTTATTTATTTATTTTGCCAGCTCATCCTGCCCTTAGGGCGGGGCTCGCCCTTATGTGGAGCCAGGAATCGAACCGTCATCCTCTGAGCCTACCTAAGCTTGCCTAAGCAGGCGCTTTAGACCACTGAGCTATCTCACCGGCCCTAAAAATACAAGTTTACAAAGCTCAGCAAATTCCAAGCAGGATAAATGTGAAAAAGAACATTTGACTATCATTGTCAAAGTGCTGAAAACCAAAGACAAAGAGAAAATCTTAAAGGCATCTGGAGAAAAGTGACATATAAGCAAAAGCATTTTGACCCACCACTGCCTCCTCAGCAGAAAAGATGAAAGTCAAGGGGTACTACAATATCTTTAATGTGTGGACAAAAACAAAAAAGCTGTTATGCAACATTTAAGGTGAAGTAGAGACATTTCCATATAAAAGAAAACAGAAAATTCATCATCAACAGACACGTGGTACAAGAATTCAAAGGAGTTCATTAGGCTGAATGGAAATGGTAACAGACAGCAACCTGGATTTACAGGAAGGAATGAAGGCCATTGTGAATGGCAACCTGAATGAATATAAAGACATTTTTCTTTGTGCTTTCTCAAAAATACACATAGCAATTTAAAGCAAAAATTATAATACTTTCTGTGGGGCTTATTATTATGTATATATACTACATGTAACAATTCTGGGACAAAGGTAGAGAAAGAGATGAAGAGAGCTAGATTAATACATTTGGAACTGAAGCATTGTTTGTTGTAATTAGTTCATTCTCTATGGAAAAAATGTTGTATATAACATAGCCAAAGAGCTACAGGCTCTAAGGGGAATTGAACAAAAGCTAGGCTTGGGAAGGTAGGGAAATTGTTTAAGGGACTCACAGATGCATGCTGTCAACTATGAGCACGTGGCTAAGCCATGGCTGAAACCTTAATCTTACAAGTGATCAACATATGCATTGAATGATTAAATTAGGAAAGGTTATTTCAGTAAAAGATGCATTGCTGTTAATGGCTCTCAAAAAACTTGTCTCAAGAACACTCCTGTTGTCATTCCTGGAAATCCTCTTTTGTAAAGTGTCTTTGCAAGATGTGATTTAAAAAATGTGAATACTGCTGTTGAGTCCCACCAAATAGAAAGGTAGGCTTGTAGAAACATCACAGTGGGATGTCACCACCTTAGATAGCATAAATGAGCTGTGTGACTTGTGGCTCTTCCCCAAAGTCTAACTGACCATGAAAGGTAAGCATTTTAAATCAATTCAGGACATCAAGACAGCCAGGACAACATAACTTCGATAACGACACTTATAAAAAAGCACCTCCAGAAGTGCTTCAGAAAATAGCAAGAATGAGTGAGAAAGTAAATGGTTCTGTGTCTTTTACTGTAAGAAATGTTTTTACAATTTTAGAACACACTGTATTTTTTAATTACACTTCCTACAGAGGAAGTTCTTGTGCAGAGTAGAAGGACAAAAGATTCCTTTAGAACAAAAGATTTG